ATGACGTTATGATATTAGGTGTCATAACGATTGTCAATATTTACATTCTATTTTTAAAAAATTATTTTGCGGTATTTTTGAAATACTAATAACTAGTTATAAGAATTACAACTTCAGTACATTTTATCATATGATTTATTAACAATGGACTTGTAACGAAAAAGACTATCAGTTCTCATATTGTTAGAAATGTGGTTTTTTATTGTCGTCGGATCTATAAATCGTTATTATAGTTTTATGTTTTGTATTAAGCCGCGTTCACACTATACCGAATGGTGTTAATCGACTGAGTCGATCGACACGGTCGACTTTCAATTTGTGGACTAGTCGACTGACATAATTGTACCGACACGTATATTAATTGTATTTTACCCAAACGCTTTTTTGTTTTCTAATATTATTAGTATTATTATTATTAATATATTCAATATTATTGATTATTATCAATCACATATAAATTGAATGATTCAGAAGACATTGCAGTTGTAATTATTATTGGAGTCGTTATACGTTTCAATAAAAGAAATTGTTTATCACTCCAGTTCAACATGGATGAATAATGAACTTAAATTAATAAAACTAAAAACCAAATAAATGCCCTTAACAAAATAAAACTAAATAGAATGAAAATGTTTACATCAATTTTTGTTAAAAAATATAATGTTATGATAATAAAGTATACGATAACATCAGCTGTAACTAAAAAGTCGAGCAACATACTTCAACACTGGTTTTATGAGATGCATGGGGTCAGAACAACTTCCTCCTTCATAAGAAATCATTGAAAATATTACTGCTTTATCAGTAATGACATTATTAGAATAGTTTTTATACCACTGTTATAGCAGTAATATTGAAAAGTGACCCCAGACGTCAAATTTGAATATTACTGTCATATATGATTTTGTCCATCAACGTGTTAAGTAGTTGAGATAAAGGCGAGGGAGAATAAAAAGTTTTTCATATTTTTTGTGTAACACAAACAACCTAAACGGATTAAAATGATTATATACATGGTCGTATTTAAGAATTTGGCGTGGAATGGCTACATGAAATTTGGCGTCAGCAAATTATTTAAGAATCATCCTTTAAATAATATTGATGAGCAAAAAAAATAATAAAGTCACATAATTTTTCCTATCACCATGAAACTTTCTTATGATCAGTGGCGTCTCGTGAATGCTGATGGTTATAGTCATATCTATATCTATAGTCATATATATAAAAAATTGTCAAATTAAACATAATAAAATAAAACACAATACACATATTATTATTTGAAAGGTCGCAGTAGAAAATAGAAATGAAAATAATAATAATAGCGTTTATACTATTATAGCAACCGATAACGACGAGCGTACACGCAGTTAATTCTAAAAATAAATTGCCCAATTAGTAATGTACTAATATTTTAACAAGATCGCAGGTGAATCCAACGCGCACTCACACGATCGCCACGACTCTCTAATAGTATACGTTTCTGCATATTGCTCGGACAACACTGCCGGTCTTCCAAACATTGCTCTTGTGGGCATGCGTACCTCCATACACTGAGGGAAACAACTTTGTTCGCACAAGACAAATGTATTATAACTATTTCACTATTTAAAAAAGGTTAAATCATAATTATCAGTATTAGAATAAAAAAACCCAGCACAAGAGGATCACGGCAAAGTGGTGACGTGACATAGTTGGATCAAGTATTATGATATCTGACAGTGATTAAAATCACTATAAAAAAAAACGCTTCGATGCAAATCTTTAGATAGTGTTTAATTTTAAAAAATTGGTGGATTATTCCAAAAGCTTCATAAACTGCTAGTTCCTTATTAATATCCTGATTAAGATAAAGTATGTCGAATGAAAAAGGGATTATTAAAAAATAGAATTTCCCATAAAAAAATTATATTGATCAATACACTTTTCAATAAGTTATAGCATTATAAAGTTAAAAATGTAAAAAATAAAATTGAGAATTTTCACACAATAATAGCATTTGGTAGCCATTTTCACCGTGAAGACAAAATAAAGTCCGAAATTTTTTTTTTACATAATAAAGTAGATTACATTAGCTTTAATTTAATATATATAAAAAAATATATCTACAAAAAAAAGAATTATATTGATCCATAGATCTTTCAAAAAGTTATAGCATTATAAAGTTAAAAATATAAAAAAGAATTTTTTTACAAAAATCGTATTTTTTTTATTAAGTTTAATGTCTGTTTTCACCATGAAGATAAAATAAAGTCCGAAATTTTTTTTTTCCATTATAAAGTATATTACATTAGCTTTAATTTAAGATATATATAAAAGTGTCAGACCTTCCGGAACACTTTCAAAAGTTAAGTTGAAAAAGTTCTACTTTCTATATGCATTTTTATGTTTTGAATCCCCCCTGTATTTAGGGAAATGGTCCGATTTAAAAAAACAGTATGTCGAATGAAAGATCTATATAAATACTACTTCTCATAAAAAAATTGTAATGATTCATACATTTTTCAAAAAGTTATAGCATAATAAAGTTAAAAATGGAAAATACAAAATCGAAAATTTTCACACAAAAATAGCATTCGGTAGCCATTTTCACCATGAAGATAAGATAAAGTCCGAAATTTTTTTTTTTCATAATAAAGTATATTACATTAGCTTTAATTTAAAATATATATAAAAGTGTTAGACCTTCCGGAACATTTTCAAAATTTAAGTTGAAAAAGTAAATTTTTTGTGAAAAAGTTGTCATTTTAAATCCTTTCTTGTGGGCAGGCTAAGTGTTAAATTTTCAAAAAAATGATATCAAATGAAAGGTAATGATATTATGCATCTATATAAAAAAAATTATATTGATATGTTCTTTTTTGAAAAAGTTATGGCACTTTTAAGTAAAAAAAATTAAAAAAATATCGAAAATTAGCGATTTTTAAATTTGTAATTTTTTTGGAGGTTTCCCCCATTTACGGGGAACGAGGGAATTTTTTTCAATTTTTAAGGGTAATGTCTTCGACTAGATACGATTTGTGATCTTTTGACGTATCATTGAAAGAAATCCGTTCGGTGAGAGCTGAGAAAAAGTGGTAACAGACAAAAAAAAAAAAAAAAAACACATCTTAGTAATACCTTAGTAATAAAAACCAATACCTTCTCAGCTTCGCATCGAAGCTAAAATTATTCTTGTAAGACAGTAAGTTAAAATATTTTGCTCTTTAATATTGATATTAGAAGTTAAGAGGACTATTGTCCCTCCTAGCTATCTCCTAAATAGAGACTTAATTATGCATATTGTGATGGTGTCACGTTACCATTATTGTGAGAATTATTTCAATAAACTACAGACAGCACATCCGCTTCCTGAGACTGATGAATTAAAAAATAATATTTATTGCCAAATTGGCAATAGTTCAAATTATTATAAAAACCCAAAAGACCTGACCATCGTGGTCAGTCGACTCCAGTGCCTTGTGTTATTCATCAGTCTCAGTACTCGGTTGTCGCTGTCCGGTTTACTGCTTAAAGTAAAATCTTTGTTTTTTCATTTTTAAACCTATCTACTCTCTTTCACGACATTTCACAGTACTTGTGTCTTGCACCTCATACCTAGATGTTACCCTTATTCCCTTCCTATAACAACAGCGTTTCGACACCCACAGCTAACCCGGAGTGTCAGCTGAGCACGGTGACTGCTGTACGACAACACGCACGTTAATATCTAGACAGCAGGCACCACATCCTCATCTTCATCTTCGTACATATTACATTACACATTCCCTCTTATTGTGTTACGACAATATATAAGCCAATAATTGAATATCATATCGGTCTAGTTAATTGGCGTAGATAATAGAGTGACTAAGGGACTACAGCCCCTTTGAGTGGTTATTAAACCCGGGACAGTTAAATATCTATTATCATTATAATAACATCGATATTTAGCCATATCGACGCGGATGTTATCGTAAAATATTTAAATGCACCTTGTTGGCTCATTTGACGGTGTATTATGTAATACAACTTGTTTTATGATTTATTTAGAGAATAATTAATTAAAATTTTATAGTAGCAAGAGAATACTTTTATTTAACAAAATTTCATAAAAAATACCACGTAACAGGAACTTATTTATTTAACAGTCATTGCTCATTAGTAATATCTTTTAAAAACAGATAATACTCATTAGTAATACTTATTAGAAACATGTTAAATAGTTTGTAAACATGTTAATAGGAATATAAAAACAAATTTTAGCTTAATATATGTATGAAAATCATATCTTGTGACAACTAAACCTATTGCACAGTAGCGTGCCCAGGGGGGAGGTTTGGGTTATATCCCTCCTCATTGCGTTTTTTTTCTAACATCGAGTACCTAACAGCAATAATTGAATAAAGTTGTAATTATTACATTGTATATTTGTATAACAACATTACATCATATCATACAAAACACAAAATATTAATAAAAATTTTAATGAGGCTTGACCTCTAAAGCCCCCTTATTAATCTTTTTCTAATTCATTCACCCCTATTAAATGTATTAGTTGTATTAATACCTATTAGTTATGACATCCCTCCCTATTTAAAATTCCTGGGCACGTCACTGCTATTGCACTATTAGAAATTAAAGATATTCCTAAGTCTTATTACTAAAATGTAGAGCTAAAACGATATAAAAAAAAATGGGAGATTATCTTCTATGTGCAAATAACCATCAAATATGAACAAAAAATGTAATTTCCGTGTAAAAAATAAATGTTATTTTGGTTATATAATTAAATTTTATGTAAAAATTATTAACTGTTTCAATCTGCTTATTGACAAACCTAAAATAATTAGAACTGTTGTGATAAAATGTGGTTTGTTATTTATTATTGGTAAATTATAGTTTTGGCATTTTTAACATTATAACAACCTACAAGTGTGACTACTAGCCCAACTCGTTTTCGTTTAATATATTTTTTTTTTATATATTATTTTTAGTGAGGAAGAGACCTTGATATATTCAGTATACTTAAGTAGTTGATAAATTTCGTTGCCTTTTACATCTTTTCTAGGAGTATATCATAATACTCTGTTGTAACAAAACAGTCTTGATAAATATTTAGCAATTTTCTCATTAAAAAAATGGAGGAATATAATAATTCCAGCAAAGTTTTACGAATATCCAATGCGTATAAAACATATGATAATATTAAAAATGTAATCGATAATTTTAGTATGGCTGTACAAAAAGGATGTATGTAAGTAAATACATAACGCTAGTTTTATTACATAGAAATTTATTATTTCATATATTGGTGAATATTAAGTCAATTTATTCCCTAAATGGTAAATTTTGTTTACATTTTATCTAACTAATAATATTTATGATATTTTAACTAAAAAGCAATAATATAATATATTTGCTAAAAAACAAGTATTATTATTTGATTGGAAATGTGTCGATTAACATTTTATAGAGTTTATTTTTATTTATTATTTTTTTTTGATAAAATAAATAAATTTCATTTTGCTTAATACTTATGAACTTTAATGTTCGTAATTTTAAACTTTTCATTTCAAAAATAAGAATAGTTTGATAAGTCTACCTTTATTTTATATTATTCTGACTAATCTTATTTGATTAAATAATAATTTTTTGTGCAACAATTTTTCGCAGGAAGAAATATTACTCTAATAACATAATTTTGGTGTAATTATAATAAAATTTAATTTAATTTTAACTCTTGAACTGTTGTTAAATTATCGTTAATTTATGTTTTATACAAATTTTTTTTATATTCTTAACAGAAAAAACTAACAATTTTATATGTTTTATTTTTTAGTATGTTAGTAAAAAAATTTTTCTTGGTTTAGAATATTGACTTAACTAGAAATTTTTTGGTGGAGAAAAGTAAAGGTTAAACTTAAAATATCTTGAGGATGACTTTTTGTTTTTATTACTTAAATAACTACTATAATTTAAAAATTGGTACAAGAAACTTGATAAATCAAATAAGTTATCTACAGCTAACATTTAAGAACCATTAATACTTTTTATGGTTACCAAATCTAAAAGCATTTGCTTAGAGTATTATAATTATGTCTTTTTATACAATTTTTACTATGGTGTTTTATGTGTTATATAATCCATAAATTAAATTTTATTTTTATCTAAAATAAATAAATGTGGCTTATAGTATTTTCTTAATAACTGATTTAAATTAAAAAATTTTATTTCAACTTATATCTGGAAGGCTCAAAATTAAGTCGTCGATGTTTTAGATTCGATGCGAAGGTATTAATTTTACTTTGATGTGTCTTTTGTGTATGTTGCCACTTTTTTTCAGCTCTCACTGGACAGATTTTTTTCAATGATACGTCAAAATATCAAAAATCGTATCTAGTTGAAGACATTAAAAATTGAAAACATTTCCCTCGTTCTCCGTAAATAGGGGAACTCTCCAAAAAAATTACAATTTTTAAAATCGGTAAATTTTGACATTTTTTTCGCATTCTTTTCTAAAAATTGCCATAATTTTATTAAATATGAATGGATCGAAATAATTTTTTTTATATTGAAACCTTTAATAATTCCCTTTTATTTGATATAATATTTTTTGAAAATCTAATACTTAACTTTCTCACAGGGGGGGGGGTATTCATAATAGAATCTTTTTTACAAAACTCAACTTTTTCAACATAACTTTTGAAAAAGTTCCCGAAATATTGTGTCCTTTAAACATATATCAAATCAAAGCTTATGTTACGTACTATAAATTAAAAAATAAAGTTTGTCCCGACGACTTATCTTCTAACGGCAAACTGGTGCCGTAGTTGAAAACATCCTATTTTTGTGTTCAAATTTTTACCAGCCTTTTTTTTAATGAAAATATACATATTTTACTACCTTAACATTTAGGAAATGATGGGACGTTGAAAATTCATAAACTAGTATTTCAGAAGTTATAAAAATTTTTATACCAAAATGGAAAGAGTGGTAGAACGATAATTAAAGGTAATAACATATATATTCGCACATTACTCCCATGTATTAGNATTAAAGGTAATAACATATATATTCGCACATTACTCCCAGTTTCTAATTTAAAATGCTAAGTACTCTACTAAAAGTTGTTGTCGACATGTCATTCTCTAAATTAGATAATATGAAAAATATTTAACACTTTGAGTTAAAATTAAAATAAACTCATTTTTGATACAAATTTAAAGGACAAATAGAAGTGGTATAATTTAATAGTTATAAGAGTTGTCTAATTCATTTGTTCTACTCTTTAAATATATATATATATATTTATGTAACAAACTTTTTTATGGCAAATTATGGAAATTAGGTATCTTACAATATTATATATACACATTAGCGTGGATCAAAAAAAGTCGATCATCGAAATTTAATAAGAATCGTTATAACTTTATTATTTATATCAAAATAGGCATTTTGTGAAAATTTGAGGTTTTTGGTCAAATATTATGATTAGTATACCAACATAGTTTGACTTTTACTGTAGAATACAAATTTTTTAGTTTCAAAATTTTAAGTCGAAAATTGATAGTGTGAACGTCATAATTAGCGTTATAATATGGTATATTTCTAGTAGATCTTAAGTAAGCTCAAATATTTTTAAGCGAAACTGATATCATTTTTTTCCGAACAATGACGTTCGCGAAACGATAGAATTGTTGCCGTATACCTAATAAAACAATAGTATCCGTCTGTGACGGCCAAGCGTTACAGCCAAACGTGATGGTCGATNCCTAATAAAACAATAGTATCCGTCTGTGACGGCCAAGCGTTACAGCCAAACGTGATGGTCGATCGTGACCCTCAGTAAAAAAGTTTCACTTCAAAAATTTTAAAGAACCCCAATAGATGAAATTTTCATTAGATATTTTCGTGTGATATCTTTGATAACGTCCAATCAATAGCTCATATAAGTTATTTCAGTTGTCATAAGTCAATTATATCTTTCCTGGCAATAGAATAAGAAAATTAAAAATAATAAGAAATTAAACTAAGTTCAATTGAAAATAAAATTTTTAAGTCTATTTTTTATTTTATTTTTATACAAACGGAATGTCAATTGAATAACTTTGAAAGAAGTTTCACTTCATCCGCGCGTTCTCGTAACACGGGTAGTTAAAAAAAATTTTTTTTTTACGCTGTATGGTTGTTATTTATGTGTATTATGAGCAAAAAAAATTATACACGTATCTTAAAAAATTTTTTCTTTATATAAAGCGTAAGCTAAAATATTATTTAATGACGGTTGATCATTAAGTACTTTTCAATTACTTTTTTTTATTTAATAAAATAGTTAAAATATATACAGAGTGGAACTGATCTAACTGAAAACTCATATAACTTATGATCTACATAACATTTTATACTTTTTTTTTTAATCAATTTTTACTATATAGAATTATATTTTGATACTAAAAATTTTTATTTTAATTCAGTAGTTACGTTTATATAGCATTTTGAAGTTTGTTAAATTTTGTTTCTTTTTTACAATTTTTCTATGGTATCAAATATTAGTCCATAATATGTGAAGTACGGAAGTAAACACTGTCTTATTACGTTATTTACTAGTAATAATACGCGATTTCTTTTCCATGAAAATTATTTTCAAATGTAAATTTTCATGGAAAATAGTAAAAAAAAAACAAAAAACCCAGCACAGGGGGGTCGCGGCACAGTTGTGACGTAGTATAGTTGGATCAAGTATAATGATATCTGACAGTGATTAAAATCACTATCAAAAATAAACGCTTCGATGCAAATCTTTAGATAGTGTTTAATTTTAAAAAAATTGGTGTTTTATTCCAAAAGCTACTTGATTTGCTGGTTCCTTAATATCTCGATTAAGATAAAGTATGTCGAATGAAAAAGGGTTTATTAAAAAAAATTATTTCTCATAAAAAAATTGTGTGGATCCATAAACTTTTCAATAAGTTATAGCATTATAAAGTTAAATATAATATGAATAATAAAATCGAGAATTATCACACGAAAATAGCATTCGGTAGCCATTTTCGCCGTGAAGAAAAGTCCAGAGGTCAAATTTTTTTTTTTCAAATTAAAGTATATTACATTAGCTTTAATTTAAGATATATATAAAAGTGTCAGACCTTCCGGAACATTTTCAAAAGTTAAGTTGAAAAAGTTAATTTTTTGTGAAAAAGTTGTCATTTTAAATCCCCCCCTGTGGGCAGGTTAAGTGTCAGATTTACAAAAAAAATATACCAAATGATAAGTAAAGACATCAAACATCTATATAAAAAAGAATTATATTGATATGTTCATTTTTGAAAAAGTTAGAGGATTATTAAGTTAAAAATATAAAAAAAAATTATTTTACAAAAATCGTAATTTTTTATTAACTTTGATGTCAACTTTCACCACGAAGACAAGTCCAGAGGTCAAATTTTTTTTTTTCAAATTAAAGTATATTACATAAGCTTTAATTTAAGATATATATAAAAGTGTCAGACCTTCCGGAACATTTTCAAAAGTTAAGTTGAAAAAGTTCTACTTTCTATATGCATTTTTTATATTTTAAGCCCCCCCATATATAGGGAAATAGTCTGATTTTAAAAAAAAGTATATCCAATGAAAGATGTATATAAATACTACTTCTCATGAAAAAATTGTATTGATCCATACATTTTTTAAAAAGTTATAGCACTTTAAAGTAAAAAATGTAAATTATAAAATCGAAAATTTTCACACAAAAATTGCATTCGGTAGCCGTTTTCACCATGAAGACAAGTCCAGAGGTCAAATTTTTTTTTTTCAAATTAAAGTACATTACATTAGCTTTAATTTAAGATATATATAAAAGTGTCAGACCTTCCGGAACATTTTCAAAAGTTAAGTTGAAAAAGTTAATTTTTTGTGAAAAAGTTGTCATTTTAAATCCCCCCCTGTGGGCAGAAAAAAGGTCAAATTTACAAAAAAAATATACAAAATGATAGGTAAAGACATCAAGCATCTATATAAAAAAGAATTATATTGATATGTTCATTTTTGAAAAAATTATAGCATTATTAAGTAAAAAATATAAAAAAAAATTATTTTACAAAAATCGTAATTTTTTATTAACTTTGATGTCTATTTTCACCACAAAGACAAGTCCAGAGGTCAACTTTTCAAATTAAAGTATATTTCATAAGCTTCAATTTAAGATATATAAAAGTGCAGACCTTCCGGAACACCTTCAAAAGTTAAGTTGAAAAAGTTCTACTTTCTATATGCATTTTTTATATTTGAAGCCCCCCGTATATAGGGAAATAGTCTGATTTAAAAAANAAAAAAAAAAAAACACATCATAGTAAAACCAATACCTTCTCAGCTTCGCATCGAAGCTAAAATTTAACAAACTGTAAAATGATCTATAAACGTAACTACCGAGTTTAAATAAAAATGTTTCTTTGAAACTTAACTATAAAATGGCTATCTTCAAATCTTAAAAAAAAATTTTAATAAAAAAATTATTTATTGAAATATTTTTTGTAATTGCGAAAAATAGCAAAAAATATATTTTAAATATATTTCTATATTGTGAAAATTAATTAAAAAAAAAAAAGTATGAAATAAATGTAGATCATAAGTTATATGAGTTGTCAGTTAGATCTGCTCCACTCTGAATATATATTTCTAGTTATGGTCTCTTAGGACCTAGTGGATGTGGAAAAACTACTTTGTTGAATTGTATAATAGGAATACAAACATTAGACTGGGGCTCTATTGATTTACAAGTTCAATCTCTTGCAAATATTGGTTATATGCCTCAGGTAAATTAAACAGTAATTTAAATAGTGCAGTATAATTAAAATTAAGGTTAATTTAAAGAGAAAAAATATTTTATAAGTAGAATTTATTGCTATAAAAATTTGAATGATACTTAATTACAGGATATTTGTCTTGATCATTATCTTACAGTAAAAGAAACGCTGATGCATTATGGGGCTTTATACAACATGGAACAAAAAAAAATAGAAAGTAAAATTCAAGAACTTAAAAATATTTTACAGCTTAACTTTCTTCATTCATTTATTAAGGATTTAAGGTATTTATTATTGACATCTTGTTTAAATTGGTTATGATAAAAATGGGGGAATATTTCAAATTAATAATTTTCAGTATATACAAAAACAATTTTTAGATGCAATATTTTGATTAGTGAAAAACATTTTTATATTAACCCTATATAATTCGAATAGGATATAAAAAGTTTCAAATACAATTTTTTGATAGTAGCTTTTTTTATTTACTTCAGGATCATTTTTTTTTCAAATTGTTTTATTCTGTTGATCGTTTTAGAAGTTATTTTGGTAGAACATATTATTCTAAGGAAGTTTGTATAAATATAGATTTTATAAATTTTTTAAGATTTATATCGTAGGGATTGGTCTAGCTTAGTAGGTAGAAACGTATGTTTCGGTGAATAGAGTCCCGTTGCTTAAAATAAAAATTTAATTTGATATTTTTTTAATATGATACGATAAATAAAGTGATTAAATAATTATTTTTGCGAATTTTATTTTATTTTTTGTAAATTGTCATTTTTTATTACTTAATAGAATGGCCAAATCTTATAATATGAAAATATTTTATTTATAAAATATTATCGAAAGATTTTTAAAGGTTATTACATTAAATATTTTATTTTTAGTGGAGGACAATGTAGAACAGTTTCAATAGCTGTTAGTTTGTTACATGATCCTCAATTAATTATATTAGACGAGCCAACCGTAGGTCTTGATGTATTGATGATTGCTAAGTAAGAAGGGATAATAACTTCTTATTATTTAATATTAGATCATAATGTTAACGTGTTTTATTTTTAGTATTTGGAATTATTTCCTTAATTTATCAAAGAAAAATGGTAAAACTATTATAATAACAACACATTATATTCACGAAGCATCTCAAGCAGACATGGTATGTGACGTTTTTTAAACTACTGCAGAGCTAAGAAATTATTGATATTTTGCTTTATCATTTGGAAATACACCCTAATAATAATTTTAAAAATCAATGCAGTGACTCAGCATAGTGCATATTCGCCATAGTGAGCTTTAGTATAGATTGAAACTTGACAGTAACTAGTTACACTTTGATGCAATTTTTTAAAGAGTGCCGCGTTAAGTATGCAATCTTTAAATAATGAATAAAGCAATAAAAATTTAATGTAAATCCACTTAATTATATTTATTTAAAATCAGCAACAATTCCTGTTTAATAATGAAAAATAATACCTGACATATGACCTCCTTCATTTAGCATGCATTATCGCACTTAATAAAATAATATTAAAAATATATAAAATCTCTATATTTTTTATTACACTTTAAAATTATGATTAAGTATTAGTAAGTATTCTTTTTTTAAAAACATTTTAGATTGGTTTCATGCGAAATGGTAAATTATTAAAAGAATGCTCACCTCAAAAATTGTTATCAGAATACAATACTGATTCTCTCGAAAACGCTTTTTTAATACTTTGCAAAAAACAAGCTATTATACAAGTAAGAATTTTTATTTGTAAATAAAAATGAAAGAAACTTTGATAAAGAAGAGATTAATTTTAGGGTAAAAATTTCTTTAAAAAAATTTTTGTAGACTTCGCATTTGTCCACATTTAATTAGTTTATACAATAAAATTTTAACAATTTAGTAATCATATTTATTACTGGATGAAATAATACTAGTATCTAACATATTAACAACTATTTTTTATAAGTCTACTCAAAAAGTAAACATTTAGTTTAGTAGATTATTTTTAACTGAATTTGGAATTAGTAAATTCAGATTTAGAATTGTATTTTAAGTATTGTTGTGACATATATTTGTTTTTATATTCCATTTGATAATCCTTCCATTTTATCTGTTCATTTTTTTTAAATAGAACATAATAGTAAATATATATTTGAATTTATTGTTACGAACATGACGTAACAAATAAAAACCGTTTAATAAACACAACAAAAATAAAATTATAAAAGCAATACGATAACAATTTCCCTTTTAATATACAGGGAAAACATCTAGAAATTTGGCCATAAAAAAATTACAATCGCGTATCTTCCGTCACGTGTACCCACATAGAACCGTTTTTGCGGACAAATCGCCTATCGCCGTCAAACCCATGTGACTAGTGCCCGTACGTTCACTTAAATGATCTGACTATAGAATCTCCGCAGAATAATAGGATCATTCTAGAATAAATCTATTGTATACGTTTCCACTGAACCATTGCCTCTTCAAAGTGTATTCGTCTCGAACTTCATATAAATCACCAGTCGGTTCAGATGTTCTACTTTCATCATGCCGCGTGGATGTTGTATGCGGTAGTAAACCTTTTCTTGACACTAACGATTCTTCTCATGCAGCTTTGAATTGAGCCTTATCTTCCTGATTGAGTTAAACAAACAACTTAGTCATCTTCTTTAAATGCGGTTGTATTAGATTTAAAGAGGTGGCTGTTTCGTATTGTACCCATTCTTATCATCTCAAATATTGCGCCAACAACGTAAATGTCAACTTTTCCTTTGTTACATATGACCAACCCTTTTACCTTTGCACATACACCAGATTATCTGCAGTATATTTTAGTATCATGTAGCTATGTAGTTCAATAAAATCGTTTCCTCACTTTATTCAAAGTCTCATTTAGACTTAAGTTTTAACATATTTGGTCACTGATATTTTTGCAAATCTCGTTGGATAAACTTCCGCAGTAGTATTAATTGAAATCCTTTGTCCATTCCTTTGTTCAATCAGATCCTGATTTTTCATTTATTCGATCTTTATAGAAACTTCTTGCTTGGCAAGCGTAAATCACCGAGGATTCTACTTGATCGCTTGAGCAGTACCTGTGTTAATAAAAGGCTAGACAAGTTTTGTACGATCGTTATTTTATCGCAGACATCTGAAAATTCCTTTAGAAGTTCCACAACTACTACTACTACTACTATTGGATGTATTTTGAGAGACACTCGTAGGATACCATTTACATTTTCAACTTTAAATCATCCTTGTTTTTCTGTGTCATCGTTCTTATCGTTCGAAACCCGTTTCCGAAAATTAATTCAAGTTAAATACTCCATTATCTAATCGTTATAATTTCCGGTCCCATAGATCCACACAACGCCATACGACTTCAATAAGACTAAGCCCAAAAGGCAATCTTCTACTATGTCTACTATTATAAACGTATTGGTTAAAAGCCAAATTATTCGATATTCTAACACTCTCAAGTGTATAAAATATCTATTCGCTCTAATGTTTACCAACACGAATATTCCGTCTATTCATATTATAATAGACTTTGATCCCTCAACCAGTGTACACCCCACCCCTCAACGCATTTGATCATAATAAATAACTGATAATTATATATTTTGTTTAGAGAAGATGCCACAATACACAGCGTGAAATATCAAAGTCGAATAACATTTTATTGTATGGAAATAGTTCTGGTATGTCCCGTAGTAAAATTAAAGCTTTATTCAAAAAGAATTGGTCGGTATTAATCAGAGATTTTATGTAAGAGTTTATTTGTATACATTTATTATAAAATAACATGATGTATATTATGGTGAATCCAGAGGAAAGGAGCAGGTGCACGCGCCTCTCTTTGAATAAATTCTGGATTTCTCTATGACATTTATTGATTTGATTAAAATTATTTTATAACTATTATAGACATTTAATGTTCCTTATTGTTTTGCCAATAATTCAAATAATCATCGTTAATTTATCAAATGGAACTTTAATTGAAAATATTGACATAGCTGTAGATAATAAGGAAGTAGATTTTTCTAAGTGCACACATACTCACTTTAATGGATGCATCTATGATAATGTTTTTAATGGATCATTAAGTTGCAGTATGTCAGATTATCTTAGATCTCGGCATTATAACATTGTAAGTATGTGACAATTCGTCATATTTATTCTGTTTAATATTTTAAATAATGTAACAGGTAAAAGTCAAAGACGAACAAGATGGAATAAAAGCTGTTGCTAAAGGCCATGTTGCTGCATTTATAAGCTTTTCTCAAAATTATACAAATGAATTGCACAGTTTAATAACAAGAAGTGATGAATTTTTATTAGAGTCTACTGCTAGCGTTTATTTGGAAGGAAGTAAGATTTTTCAGCATAATTTTATTTTATTTTAGCAAGATAGTAGAGTGCCCTTATTTTTGAAGTCTTAAATTTGAGAAGTGCCATTCAGAGTTTTTTCCTGAGAGTCTAAAAATAATATCTAAAACAATTAGATTTATTTGACATGATTACATAGATTGAAAATCAGTGTACTTCCCTTATAAGGTATAAAGAAATAAATTAAAATACAATACCAAGAATTTTAACACAAAAATAGTAAATTTTTGAATATGATAATCATCTCGAAATTTTTTTTTCATACTAAAGTATATTACATAAGCTTTAATTTATGATTAAAGAAAAATGTCAATATTTCCGGAACATTTTCAAAAATTAAGTTAAAAAAACTTGTGTGCAAAAATTGCTTTTTTGAATCCCACTTGTGGGTAGGTTAAGAGTCCGATTTTCAAAAATTCATATCAAATGAAATAAAAATATCTAAGGTTTCAATATAAAAAAGAAATATTTTAATTTGTTAATTTTTCAAAAAGTTATGACAATTTTAAATATTAAAATATTTCATGTTAAACAGCGATTTTTACATAAAAATGACATTTCTGGTTAAATTCGATGGCCATTTTCCCATAAAATATAATTCGTCGGGACAAATTTTTTTTTGAACTTATAATACATAACATTAGCTTTACTTTTCAACATATTTTTAACATTTTCAAAACTTAAGTTGAAAAAGTTAAATTTTTGTGCAAAAGTTGATATTTTGAATCCTTCTTTGTAAGCAGGTAAAGGGTTAGATTTTTAATCGGTAAATTTTGACTTTTTTCTAAAAATTGCCATAACTTATTGAAAAATGAACAAACAAAATAGTTATTCTTATATTAAACTATAGATGTGATATATAGTTCATATAGTAGAGGGGTCAGCTTATCGTTGCTATACTGGTGATCGACCGTTGTGTCATCCGTATGGATAGTAATGCGAGTTAGTTGACCTTCTTCGTCTCCGTGCGAATTACCTGTTGTTAGTTTGTTATACACGTAATATACACTTATATTTTATGTTATATTTAAAGTTGGTGTTTTTCATTTTATTATTATGTACCTTCTAGATCTATAAAAATTATTACATAGATATTTTTCTTTCATTTGATATAAATTTTTTTTTTATAGATGCTTGATGTCTTTCCTATCATTTGGTATATTTTTTTTATAACTTTAACCCTTTACCTGCCTACAGAGAGGGATTTAAAATGACAACTTTTTCAACTCAACTTTTGAATGTGTTCCGGAAAGTCTGACACTTTTATATATATTTTAAATTAAAGCTAATGTAATTTACTTTATTATGGAAAAAAAAATTTCGGACTTTATTTTGTCTTCACAGTGCAAATGGCTACCAAATGCTATTTTTGTGAAAAAATTCTCGATTTTATTTTTTTAATTTTTAACTTTATAATGCTATAACTTTTTGAAAAGTTTATGGATCAACACAATTTTTTTATGAGAAATAATATTTTTTTATAATCCCTTTTTCATTCGACATACTTTATCTTAATCAGAATATTAATAAGGAACTAGCAGATCATGTAGCTTTTGGAATAATCTATCAATTTTTTAAAATTAAACACTATCTAAAGATTTGCATCCAAGCGTTTTTTTTTTGATAGTGATTTTAATCACTGTCAGATATCATTATACTTGATCCAACTATGCTACGTCACCACTGTGCCGCGACCCCCCTGTGCTGGGTTTTTTTTTAAATTATTATTAATCGAATCACATATTATTTTTAATAGTAGTTAAATATTTTTTTAAAAAAATTATTCAATGCTATTCAGTATTTTGTCATTTTTCTAAATTTTATTGGAAAATTTAGATTAATGCAAAATTATACATTTTTTAGAAAAAACGAATTACTGCAATTTTAGCTTTATATAGTTTTTTTATATTTAATGATATAATTACCAAAAATGTGAAAATGGAAAATATTACTTTTGTGCCTTTTTTTTTTTTTAATTTTACGAAGAAGTATTGACTTTATAAAAATAAAAAACTAAATTGTAAATTATTCATTATAATGTTCCTGACTTTTTTATTAACTCAATACTTGTGCTAAAATATCCAAAAAGCTACAAATTAAAAAAATTTCTTTGAGCTTAAAGCCCGTTCTGTTAATAATGTCATTTAAAACTCAAATTTTGTAAATTTTTATACCCATAAGAAAAAATTCATTGTAATAACTCAAAACTTTCATATACTTAAGTATGGTAAAATATAATTTTTTGGTTCCCTTTGCCTCACCCTTCACTCACTGTTTGTGCAGGGAGGTGCGTAGTCTGGTGTAGGTAAGGTGTGCCCTTTGATTGTGGAGGCGGTGTAGAGTGGTGCGAATTGGGATAAAGGTGGGGATAATGGAGTGTGGTAAGGGGATAATTAAAAATGATGATCTTTTTTTTTAACCAAACCAAAGTTCAAGGGAGACCCAAAATAGACTAATTAATGTTAATATAATGTTTTAGGCTATCCAATAAAAAATCAAATGTTTAATGAGATTTTCAAAGGAACAAAATTTGTTTTGGAAACAGCGATTAATCAATGTGATATAGAAGGGGAAATATTACAAATTCCTATGGTATGTATTGTAATCGACTACTTTTTATACAATTTAAAAATTTTAATTGTAGTTTATCTACAAAATATAATGTTTTTCTTTGTATATTATTGTTATAATTTTTATTAACATTAAAATTTACCCATCTATATTTCATATTTATTCTATTAAACACTACTGTATCGTATTCATGACGTCTTTGATTATTTTAATATTGTATTTATTATAGAATATAAATGAAATGTATGGTTCAAATATTCAATCATTTAAAGATGAAGCTATGGCTAAAGTACTCACTTTGTAAGTTATTTTTCATTGATATGATTATAGATTTAAACCAAAACTTTTTTTAAAATCACTCTGAATACTTTTCTTTTTACTTATATAAAAATAATAACTTGAAATTTTACGCAAAAAAATTAGCATTTTTTACTCATCTTAAAATCACCTTAAATTCATAACATTCATTGTTTTTTAAAAAAACCTGTGAATGTTATCAATACTCGTGGATGAAGTGAAATTTCTTTCAGAATCATTCAACTGATAGAATATTAGGATTGTATTGGAATAAAATAAAAAATATACATTTTATTTTTAATTGAAATTAGTTTAATATAATTTATTATTAAGTTTCTTATTTCATTGACACAAAAGACATATTAGGCTTATAATAACTGAAAAAACTAATATCAGTTTTTAATTGAATGCTGTTAAGATATTGCGTAAAAATTGCTCTTATTGTAATTTTTTGAAATTTTTTTATGTACAATCAAAGTTATTTGAAATGAAATTATTTAATGCATTTTAAATAAAACTACTTTAATTTTCGAAAATACAGTGTTAAATTATAATATAAAATATACTTTATTACTTATTATTATTATTATTATTTATTAATAAATAAATATAATAACATCATATTTGTTACATTTTATAATTTTTTATCCTTAAAGTTATTTAGTATTTCCTGTGTATTAGTAATACATTTTTAGAGTTTCTGCATCAGTTTTTATTATTCTTCAAATATATTTATTTGCATGTGCTAAGAACCTTTTCTTAAAGTAATTTTACCCTTCTTTTTATATTAGAAAATTACATTTGTCACGTCTTATCAATACTCGTGCTGTATTAGTATTGCCACTAACTTCTATAACATTATTATTGGAGATTTTAACGATCGTTGCCATCATATTCTATATTTGCTTTCTATATGGTGAAAACGTTCGCTTCTTTCACTATGCCTCTAAACCCAAACAAAACATCACCACCTCTTACCCGCACTTCTTTATCATCGTCTACACCTTTATCCACTTCCCAATCTATAGATGAAATTTTCAAAGTTATTCATCATATACAACTTTCTCAGGACAAGTTATAAGTGAGTCATAAAGCTCTTAGTAAAGATCTTAAAGACGGTGTCAATACTCTTACGTGCCTATTTAACGCCCTTTTACTTGAGATTAAAGATCTACGCTATAAAGTTGATATTCTTGGGTCTAGGGTCTCAGCTCTTGAATCTAATGCTTCTAAAACTGTTCCTTCAAATTTTGTAGCTGAAGTGATCCTAGAGTTTAATTATTGTGAACGGTGCAAATCCAATATTATTATATATGGTATACCGGAGTCTTCCTAAATGAACTTTTCAATAAAAAATAATGACGATAAAGTCATATTATCGGATATTTTTTCTAAATTTTCTCTTAAAGTTACAAATGATTTCAAACAAATACGTCTTAGTAAGCCTTTTACAACTGGGCCTCGTCCTTACAAAATTATTTTCAACTCCAATGAATCTGCCTCTTCAGTAATTACGGCCAATCGTTATGCTAAAACGCAAGCTTTAAATCTTTAGCCTCGTACGAGCCTAGTTCGCGACAAAAAATGTTTAGAACGCTAGCTACTTCATGTTTGTCATCGTGAACTGAAATAATATTAAACAATGGTTGAGATCAACCTTATTATCACCTACTTAAATAGTATTCTTAGTGTCTGTTTAAAAAACTTATCCCACGTCCATCGACGTTCTCAAGACTAAATGGTCCGAGGGATATGCCTAAGCAAGTACTCCCTACCTCAAATATATCCAACCCATACTCTTGCTCCAGTATACCAAATAAACGCCTCAACTTTGTGTACAGTAGCAATAATCCACAAACCACTTTCTGTAAATATTGCCGCTTAGGTAAACAAACTTTAAATTCTTTCTTAATATATTTTATTAACTTTAAGCACTCTTTTTCTAAACCCGTTATAAGTTTGATTTTAATAACAATTATATTTGTTAAAAATCTTTAATTCTAATTTAAAAATATTCTATCAAAATGTATGTGACCTTAAAACCAAATTAGTTAGTCTCAGATGTTCTTTTCCTATGTTCTGCTATTACGATATCATTGTCCTTATGGAAACCTGGCTGTCACCTGACATAAGTGATAGTGAACTTTTTTTTTTTGGTTTTCAAGTAATGCGTCTTGATAGAAATCCTAATAACAGTAATTTTCTCCGTGAAGGTGTAGTCCTAATTTCCATATAGACTACTCTCAAATTCCACTATTTACCTTTACTCCTCTCGAATGTTGATCAAATATTTGCTTTATTATCCTTCAACTCTTACCGCTTATTAATTGGTGGTGTATACTTACCCCTTCACGCACATATTCCTGTTGTGGAATTCAATGTTCTTCTGTCGAGCAAGTTATTTCGCACTATAAACCATATTCAGCTATCTCATACTACAATCTCTCAAATGTTACCTGGTCGTCTGATGAGCTAGGATTAACTGCTTCTAATGGTACTAATATTATTTCCACAACTATTATCAATTCCTTTAATTACCTTAATTTTTTTAGTGTAACTCTTTTCCAAATAATTTTGGCACTATTCTAGATCTTATCTTTTCTAGCTCCAATGGATTCGCTGTCAATTTAACAAATTAATCTCTTATTATCTGCGACTTATACCAACCTCCTCTTCACATAATATTTCCTTTCCTATCTGACAAAGTAACCAATAATACTCATACTTATAAAGATTTAAAAACTACAAATTATTCCGCTATTTCGAAATTTTTTAACTCCTACAATTGGGAGTCTACTTTTCCACTATACTCAATGATGATGTTGTCTCTATCTTTAACCAATCCCTTCTTCATTCCATTGAGTTTCTACTAAGGTCTTTATATTACCAAAATGTCCTCATTAAACTTACCCTGCTCTTAAAAATCTTATAATAGAGAAAAAACATACAGTTTTCAAAAGATCTAAATTGACCTGTGACTACTATATTTTTTCCTAGCTTCGAGTAAAATGCAAAATCTTATCGAAGTTAGATTATAAATTTTATTTAAAAAAAACTAAAGTTCAATCACTCTCAATCCCTCGATCTTTTGGAAATTTACCAAAAATTTAGGCCAGCGTAACACTGTTCTCTTTAATTTACGTTTAGATTATGAAATGGCTGATATCTTCTTGATTTTGCTAACCTGTTTTCTAAATACTTTTCTCCCTTATTTAATACCTCTACTTCTTCAACTCCTTATTGTCCTAAAAATTATGTTTACCTTTATGAGCTTCCGTCAAATTGCTACTTTACTCTTGATGATGTGCAATACACCCTTAACTCCTTAAAAAACAACACTTAAAATGGTCTTGGTGGTATTTCTGCACGTTTGTTCTTTAACTGTCAAGATTCGTTTTTATATACTTTATTTTTGCTCTTTAGACGCTCACTGGATGAGGGTCTTATTCCCCCTGTGTAGAAGATCTGTTCACTTACTTTTGTTTTTAAATCTATATTATATACGTTTATTCATTTAGTTTATATTTGACTTATTAAATTGTAATAAACTAAGCAAAAAATATTTGTCTTGGGAAAAAAAAAATTATTTTTTTCCATCTCTAGAAAAAATTATTTTTAATTGTTCTTTTAGATTATTGTTTTATTTCTCAAGTGTTTATTCTGCAAGTTTTATGTTAATGTCAAAGCTTAATAATCTGTTAATTCGACCAATGACCGCTGGTGGGTATAAAATTTGTTTTATAAAATTCTTTTTGCTAATTATTGTGTGAAAATTTAAAGTAAAAAAAAACATTATTTCAGGAGTAACGATAATAGATGTCATTTTTTCATTATTTTTGAATCATACAGTGGCAAATATGATACAAATTACTATAATGTTCGTTTTATCTTATATGTATTTTGAAAATCCTATTGAATTTTCTGCCAACTTATGTTTAGTGTGTGTTGTTCTCAAAATTGTATCATGGACTGGATTTTTATACGGTAATTAATTATATTTAAAATTTAAAATTAACTTTTTTTTATACATGTATTTTTGTGTCGAAGAAAAGAACTTATGTTAATTATCATATTTGATACGGTTGTCGGGGATTGATGACCGGTTATCGGAAGTTTACCGAAAATCATTTATAAAAAAAAGGCATGTTACGATAAAACCCGCAACCTAAGACATTGTAAAGACAAACGTTACCACTAGCTCACCACGTACTTATGATTCAGAAACACTTTCATATAGGTTGATAACGTGGTGTGCAGTTGAGGAATACACGGTACCGCATACTTTTTATGCTTTTATTATACTGCGTGTTTAGGTTAAATTAATTTAATTTTTAGATAAATACTTTTTTACATAATAAATAAGAAATTTGTATAAGATGTATGTATTTTCGCATTTTTAAGTGACTTAGTGTGTAATAAAAAAATACAAATTTTAATCTAAAAGAAATAAAATAATATATGATAGAATAATATAATATTTTAAATATAATATAATATGTGGTTTAAATATGGCAGAATATGAAAGGGTGTAATGATATAAATAAAAGGGAGTTTAGAAAGGTGAGTCAATGGTGGCTGAGCACATAAGGGTAATGATCAAATAATTATTATAAACACAAACGTTTATGACAAAATAGTAGATTAATCTCGGGGGATCAACAATATTGAACAAATGATGTTAAATATCTCTTACAAAATTTTATAATTTGTCTTAATGGTTTATTCGCAATAGATTATTTGTGGTTTGTAAGCATAAATAAAACTTGTAGTTACCTTAATCCTATGTAACGTAACAATATTTTAAACAATCCAACGTTGATTTAAATTTCACATTGTGTTTCACACGCTTTACATAATGCGTTGTAAGTTAATATCATTGTTAAGAAAAATGATTTAATTTTAAATAATACGAGGTTGTTACATAAAATCTATGACTGTTTTTTACATGTTGCCAGTGGATTTTTTATCAGCCTGTAACAATAACGTGGTTTGCCACTTATATAACGACTTACTATAGTAGTAAGGGTCGCCACCCCCTAGGCGAGGTGTCACAACTATCAGATATGATTACCGGTTCATAGGTGGAATTTAATTTTAAGTTAATTAAAAGTATAATTTAAGTTAATATGTCGTTATATGTATAAAATGATTATTATACCTCGTGGTTCATTAACCTCAACTATGATAATTGAAGTTGAACGTGATTGATATGTAAAATATACCGTAACCCGTGTCTAGATTAAGGAATAGGGATAAAATTCACGCGAGTAATTAAGTTACTTGCTCAATAAGATAAATATTACAGTTAAAATTAATAAGGAAATTTAATTTAATTGTTAAAAAAAAAAAAAAATTAAGTTAAACATGGAGAAAAATACGAGTGTATCAAAAACCATGTTTGCAAATAAAGGCAACAAAAATAAAATAAAATATTTAAACAAAACATATTACAAACATCACGGACGGTATTGGACGGTATCCGTTAATGTTAATCGGAAATTAATGAAAAACACCAGGAGTCTACCTCTTTAACTGGTTCTGAGAGAGTTCTACATGATGAATCCATGATTAAAAATATTTTGTTGCCGGTTAGAAATTATCTTCCAACGAATCTCAAATTGAATCGGATTGGGAAACGACGTCCAAGTATTACCCGCCCACTTAAGCTAATATATACTAACAAAGAGGAAGCACAATTTTTGCTGTACCATATAACTAGGTTAAATGGTCAGGTACTCAATTCCAAAATGATTTTAATCTTGTCAAGGATAAAACCAAATTTAAACGACAACTATTACGTGCTTGTCACAATGATCTGTTGTCTCGTACAGCTCAAGGTGAAACAAATCTACGTATATATTATGAAAATGGTGTTCCATCTGTGGTCAAATCAATTCCAAAAAACCGGGTCCGTGAAAACATACCATTCGACAACCAGAAATTCAGCAAATTTCTCAACTTTCATAGTTCAGCCATGTACACTAAGTTTGCATGAGCATGATTATTTTTATAATAAATGCCAAGTCCACTCTTAGTACTTTTATATTAGATTTCTACTATTAAAATTAATAAGTCTNTTTTATATTAGATTTCTACAATTTTAAAATTAATAAGTCTTGTCCTCGTGATTTACCTACAATTAGCTATACTACGTCGAATGATAATGTTTCGTTTGGTTTTTACCAAAACTGTCGTGGTCTTAGGACTAAATTTTTTACTCTTAAGTGTAATCTTGCCAGCTTTAATTATGTATTTCTTGTTTTCACAGAAACCTGTCTTAATTATNTTCTTGTTTTAACAGAAACCTGGCTTAATTCTGATATATTTGATTCTGAATTATGTTTGGATAATTATAATGTTTACCGATGTGATAGAAGTATTTTAATGAGTAATTGTACTAGAGGTGGTAGTGTCCTTATTGATGTGCATAAATATTTTCATTCACAAATTGTTTCTATCTCTAATTTAAGTATTGAACAAATTTATGTTAGTTTTAGTTGTAATAATGACAATTTTATAGTTGGTGGTGTATATTTTCCTCCTAATTNAATAATGACAATTTTATAGTTGATGGTGTATATTTTCCTCCTAACTCTCCTAATCAATCCTATGATACTTATTCTAGCACAATTAAAAATCTAGTTTGTTGTTATAGCACCCATAGTTTTATTCTATATGGTGACTTTAACTTACTTAATATTAATTGGTCTAATGATAATTTAGGTATTTTCTATTCAATGGCTACCGAAAACAGCCTATTCCTGAGACTTTTGCTTTCTTAAACTTTTATCAAGTTAATAATGTTTTTAACATTTACAATTCAATGTTAGATCTTATATTTACAAATAAGAATCTCTTTAAAGTTAATATGGTGCACGATCTAATTGTTCCTGAAGATCGATATTATCCTGCATTAGCTATTGATTACCCAACAAATAAAAAAATTCGTTCTTTCATGCCGTTGATTCATATTTTAATTTTACGAAAGCAGATTATACACGTATTTCAGATTTTTTCCTGTCTTATAATTGGTTGGATACTTTTACTCAACTAGACGTTAATTCAGCAACATCTACTTTGTATGATTCATTACACTTCTCTATTCTTCACTGGGTTCCATGTGTTAACTATAATAAATCTAATATTCCTTGATGGTTTTCTAAGGATTTGATTGATACAATGTTCCAAAAAAGAAAAGCCCACGCCATTTTTAAGGCAACACGTAATCCACTCGATTACAGAAAGTTTTCTCTGCTACGTGCAAAATACAAATTTTTATCGAAAAATTGTTACAGAAAATTTATTGAACAGACTGAATCTAATTTTTGTATTAATCCAAAAAATTTTTGGAACTTTGTTAGAAAGAGTAAATCTCAACAGTCAATTCCTAAAACAATTAATTTTAATGGATTTACTAGTACTAATATTATAGAAGTTGCTAATTTAATTCTTTTTTCTATACCTAAATGTAATACCAACTACCTAAAAAACCAGTCATTTTATAAAATGATGAGTATTGCTAATAAGGACCCATCAGCTTTATTATATTACTAATTGTTGTATTTTTGTATTTTATATGATTATTGTACATATAAGTTAAGTTTATTATACTGAAATTTGGTCATATATTGAGAATATAAATAAATATTTGAAATTACAAAGACGTGGAACTTGGGGGTGCTTAAAGTAAAGTTGGGGGTGCTTCAGCACCCTCTAGCACCCCCGTAGTTGCGCCACTGTCTAGCACGGTCAATGGCAGAAGAAAGATGATGAGCCAACACTGATCTAACGGCAATTTCAAATCGATAACGGCCAGTTATTCTTAGTTATTTTTGGGAGGAATCAATACCGATAAAGAATTCGAGTTAAATTATATTTATCCTCTTTTGTCGCTTTATCTAACGGTCGGAAGCAAAAATAATGAGTTGTTGACACCACTATGACAGAAAAAGGTTCATTCGCGCGATAAAATAAATAAGTAAACATAAAAAAAAATTATAAACGGTCCAATTTTGATTTTGTGACGTTACAATATAAAAGATTCTATACACTTTATATTCTTATAATATATATAAGTTTAATAATGTATCCTTATTAATTTTTTTAATTGATTAAGTATCTTTTTAAAAGAGTGTATTTTATTGAGAGATTGACAAAAATATTTTAAAAATCTTTCTCTGCCCATTCCAAAACAAGATTTAAAAATATTTATATCTGTGTTAAAATTTTATCAAGGCGGTATTGTGATAGTCCAATATGTTAAATGCCTTGAAAAGATGCGGTTCATTAATACCAACACAAAAATTAAACACTAAAAATACATTTGTAGTTTCTGTGCACTGTTCGCCGGCGCGATTTTCATTAAAACAAAAACATTAAGCTCAGAGAGTAGCTACCCAATGAGTATGGGATTGTAATACACACAGTCCAAATTATCGTTAAATTGATTTAAATTTCAGTTTGAACTAAAAAATTTGTGACTTTAAAGTTCCGTTAAATTTGTAAGAAATAATGTAAGTCCAGAAAAAAAGTGTTTTTTAAATTGAAAAATTTATTAAGTCCAAATTAAGTAAAAAAAAATCTAAGTCTCAGAGAGTGAGAATTTTGAAATGTGTGTCGCAGATTTGTGTATTTTGAAATTACTGAATAAAATGATTTTAATGAAAAAAAATGGGTTTTAGAGTCAGATGAGGGTAGTGTAGCGATCCTTAGTGTTATCTTGGAAGCTGTAGATTAAGTAGATTAAATGTGATTGGCTGGACTTAATTAAGAATCTACATATAGGCATTACTTTAAATTTGTACAATAATCAGATTTTATTTCCTAGTTAACTAGTTATTTTGTATTTTAAAGAAGGAATCCCTGTTTTGGTGATCTTTTAAATTCATAATTTGTGACATACATATACAAAGGGTAACATCATACAATATGCTAATATTATAAGTGATAACATAAGATTACAAGTGAATGTAAACAAAATTAACACAAACTTTTTTTCTTCAGACCAAACATTTTTATTCTTAGTAATTTATTTTATTTTTACAATGCAGGTGTAATGGTTTCTGGAATAACGACAAATAGTACTGAAGTTATGTTTTTAACATTTGGATACATTTATATGCAAGTATTTGTCGGAGGTAATTAAATACATAAGTTACTTTTTTTACTTCTGAAAATATATGTATTTTCAATTCAAACTCAGTGCAAGGGGAGTAGTAAAGATAGGTTTCCCAGGATCCGTGGTTTTGAAATCATAAATATTTAGGCGAGAGCACTATCCCGGCACCTGTAAATTTTTAGTTTGGATATAAAATCTGTTTATGAACTGTATTAGGACATCTGACTAAGACTCAAGAACCCCAAATAGGAAGGGTTGGTCTACTCTAATAGGGGGAAAACAGTGGTCAGATAACAATGAAAACTAATTGCAAGTTTAACAATGATAAAGTAGCTTACAACTATGAATAAAAATATGAATATAGTAGCAGTTATCAAAATTTATTATAACAAATAAAAGAAAACAACTATTTATCTAAATTTATAATTACAAATTACACTCAATTATTGAATTTAATATAATGACATCTTGAAGAATATTTATCCAAATAAATGTTAATAAAATGTACTAAAAATTAAAAATAATGTATACAATTACTATTTACTTTATGTTGGTAGACATTAATAAGTAATTGTAAATTTAATTTTTTTTAAATAGTACCTTATTGACTAATCTAACTAATTAAATGAAATTTTCTAACAATTTATAGCTGGAAAATACAATATCTTTTCAGCCAACTGTAAAATGTCTAAAAAACTATTACACAAATTTCAATAATTTACAAAAAAAAAAATAAAACGATTTTACAAATAAATACACGATTCAATTACAATAATAATAATTAATTATGACTAGATAGGATTAGTTCTAAATTAAAAGGAACGATTTACGGTACACTAGAACATTATTTTAGTTGAATATAAACTTAAGAATGATTTCTTATAATAATTGATTTTGATGATTTTACACTTGTGTAGAATAAACATGACATTTGACTTAGTTAAATTTGAATACTAATTATGATTAATTTGAAAATTTTTCAGAACGTTTAACATAATTTTGATAGAAAATTTTTTTTAATACAATTTTGTCGAAACTTAAAAAATCACACTATTTCATCTCTACAATAATATGTAGTCAAGTAATATTTTAAAAATCTCTTCGTGGATAAAAATCCTTAAATTTAATTATCTTAAATTGAAAGGCTTTACTTTTAAAAAAAAATTTTAATCTTGATAATATGATAAAAAAAAAATTATAAACAATTTTGTTCTTATAATTTATTCTATCAACTGTTTGCTTTTTATATATTATTTAAATACTTGGATTTTAAGTAAAAATTCATCATTGATTTGATTTTATAATACCGGTGTCAGTGCAATCGATATTAAAAAATCATTTGACTACATATTATTGTAGTGTTTTCTAAATTTAATAATTTTTCTTTTTACAAAAACTGAAACATTTCAAGAACTTCAAAAAAAATGATTGTTTTACCAGATTTTGTCATTCTGTATAATATATATATATATTTTTTTTTTTGGATGCTTGATTTTAAGAATTAAGTAAAATTAATTCTTGTTATTTCAAGAATTTATGTTACTTTTATTCTAATTTTATTTAAATTAACGTTATACCCCACTATAAAATAATTATACTTTTATTGGTTATTGAAATAAATAAATTATTGTAGTCATAGTGAATTAGAAAAAATAAGTTTTGAGCATGAAGTTTTAATTATTATTTCAGTACAAATTCAATAGGTTTCTTTTGATTAAAGAACATTTGATTTTTAATGTATAACTTGTACATATCAAAATGTATTACTTTTCTATTATTACAAAATATTTTATTTATTTTTAGGAATACTGTGGCCCACGAATAGTCAAACACCATTATTAAGATTTTACAGTGAAAACCTTCCAATAACAGTCGTAGGTCGTTTAATAAATAATATTTTTCTAAAATCTTGGTCGTTCACTCATCCTTTGATAATGATAGATTTTATAAAATCAGTTATACTGTTATTTTTACATTTATTTGGAGTTATTTGTGTTAACTACTTATATAAAAATGCATGGATTATCCAAAAATAATTAATATTATAATAACTCAAAAAATTTTGTGAAGTTGGATTAAATAATTAAGTTACTATTTATTGTTAAAATAATAATATTCTTTGAATGATGAGTACAAGGATTTATAAAAAATATAACAAAAAACGTTAGAAAAATAGTAGTAACTATTTTTTATTTAAATAAAAATTATGAAAACAATTATTATAAAGTATACTGATTTTTGTTATATTATTGTTATATTATATTATTGTCATACAAAAAACAAATTGTAGTTAATTTATTAAAAATATTTAAAGAAAAACATGTGAAAAGCCAACTGTACTCACAATTAGGTGCTCCTAACTAAATTAATCAAAACAAATTGTCATTCATAATACTGGAAAACTTTGGCTAAATGTAAATTTGAGTAATTACAAAATTAGCTTTTTTCGTGTGCCGCAATAGAGTTTTCATTATATTGTAAATATTTTAGATTTTAATCAACTGATTTAAAATTTTTTTATATAAAATTAAACAATATTAAATTCCATACAACTTTTGTCTAAAGCAATTTTCGATTGACTTTTTTCTCATTTGCTATCTACGAATTCACCATTATATTTATATAATTTTTTTTCTTCAAAATATCAGAAAAAAATCAGAATTTTACGTAAAATTTACCAATAAAAATGAATTTATTAATAATATATTTTATATACTTTATATTTTAATATTTAAAAAGGAAAATTAAATATTATTTTGCAATAATATTAAAAAAATGTAGAAGTTATACGTAATGGAAAAAAGAAACAATTTTTCCCAATACTAGCTGACCCGGCAAACGTTGTTTTGCCAAAAAGTTTTTTTAAACACTAAGTGGACCCAGCGAACTTAACGCCTCCAGATAAACTTAAAACATAAAACAATAATAAAATATACAGTCCAAAAATGTATTTATTGATTTATTTGAATTGAAACAAAAATCAATAGAGTACAATATGATAAAAAATGTTTTTCGTTTTGTTTTCTGACGCAAAAACAAACAACGAAGTCTGTTGCAAAAAACATGAAAATTCTATTTAATTGATTAATTAATTTATTAATTGTATTAAATAAATTATTGCTAATTAGTAAAATAAAATGCAATTGTACTCACGCTAACAATGGAAAATGGAAAATGAAGTCGTAATAATCGAATAATCATATTTCATATTGATAAAACATAAATTTTATCTGTACTATCGACTATTGCGTTCTATGTAAGGAAAGGGTATTTACGGCTATAAATAAAATCGAACGGAATAAAAACGATACGAAAATTATCACTTTACAAAATTTAAACTTTACCTTATATAGTGAAATATAATATTAATACCTAATATATACAACATATTTCTCCATGTTGATCCATTTTTTTGGTCTTGGCCGGGGGACCCCATTTTAACGATTAATTATGTCATATGAACAATTACACAAAGCTTCCTGTAGTTTTTTCAATTCGAAAAAGCATTCCGGAACTTAAAAAATCAATCATCAAAAAAATTAAAAAAAAAAAGGTTTTCCCAAAATTTTTTTGTAAAAACCTTCTTCTGGCAATTACGAACAATTTAAAAAAAATTTGAGCCAAATCGGCCCAGCCGTTCTCATTTTTGGCTACATTTAACTAATCAACTAGTTAACTAATCAAAAATTTATTTAGACAACCTTCATATAATAATAAAAAAAAAATAATAATATTAGGTTCCCATTTAACATTTGAATGTTATTTCTAAAATCTAGCCTTAGTCATGATTTTTTCTTACAAAATACTTGATATTTGCAGTGATTTATAATAAAACTAATTTTAATTTGTATATTTTTATAAAAAATGATTATTTAATAAAATAGTGGGGAGTATCATTCCTAAAAAATCATACTGTGTATATTCTAATTACACGTTTTGTGATTTATAAGTATAATATATAAATAAATACTTATTATAGTAATTAAATTTAGTATGAAATTGATATCTAATCATTTAGTATTGTATTTTTATGTAGAAACCATAATAAGTTGTAAATTGTTATCTCTATGGCAAACGTGTATCAATTATTTATTTTATTTATGAACACATCAAGTAATGTACGATAAAAAATCACTGTGCATAAATATGACAAAAATCTGTTAGTTAGAAAATATTATTCAATGCAAAATATAATTATTATTATTTTTGTCAACGATTTTTTTTTAGTACGATCTTATCCGATTTTGTTTCAATCTTGAGTAAAGTTCGACAGAAACTTTTTAAAAGCTTCAACAAGCATTTGGAGAATGTGTGCTTTCAATGATCTAGATTTTTAGGTTGGGTTGAGATATAAGGCATTTTCAGAAAGTAGAGAGCTGATTAAAGATGAACCCCGCAGTAGAATAATGAAAACATCATCAGAAAACAGAATTTTGTCCGATTCAATCGTCGGTAGATGGTGTAAATGATTGGAGAACAGTTGGGATTAACTCACATTACCGTTCATTAAATTTTGTCACGAGACCAAATGGACAAAAAAAGAAACTCGTGTCTTGATTTTATAGAGTAGTTTGAAAATGACCATTTTTTCTTAGAATATGTCATTATTGGTGACGAGTCTTAAATTTTTGAGTACAACCCAAAAACAAAGAGCTGGAGCCAATAATGGCACATATCACGTGAAAAAAGTATGATTGACCAAATCAAAAATCATAACCATAATGATTTGCTTCTTTGATAGCCAGAAAAGAGTCCACAAGGAGTTTGTACCTCGAGGCTAAACAATCAACCTACACTTTTGTAAAAAAGTTCTTGAAAAACTTCGAAAAAGAGTCATTAGAGTAAGACCGAATATCAAAAACAATTGGGTGCTGTATCATGGCAATGCACATTGTCACACAGCCATTTCAATTATCTAGTTTTTGGCTAACTAGCTAAAAATATTCCCGTGACACCTCAATCCCCCTATTTACCCAACTTGAACCCTTGTGACTTTTTTTTCTTTTAAAGAATAAAAATTTTCCTTAAAGAACGAAATTCTGGGATACTACAAAGTATTAAAATGTTTGTTACTGATCAACTGAAAGTTATTCTGATAAATGAGTTCTAGAACTCTTACAAACAATGAAAATATGAACTTCAGCGCTGTGTGAATTCCCAGGGCATTGAATGAGATAATGTAGAATTGTAATTTGAATTCAATTAAAAAAAATAAAAACTCCAATCTCATTACTTAACTTACACCTTATAAATATTATAGTTGTCAGGAAATTTTATATAAAATAAAACAACGCTATGGGAAAAAATAATTCATATTATAATTTAAAGTAATTTTCATTGTAAAAGTTTTTTAATATACCAGTAATGAGAAATATGTGTAGTCGTTTATAAGCGCTAATAAAGGTAATGATGGAAGAACCCAGTAGCTTAATGTTGCAAATATCAAATGCATTTAAAAAATTAGATAAAAATAAAATAGTGATAAATAATTTCAGCATGACTGTTCCTAGTGGATGCATGTAAGTACCCATTCAATTTTTGGACGATCAAATATTTTAGATTATAATATTCTAAATATATTTTAAAAAGAAAACTTACTTTTATTAATAATATAAATCACTGTATCGTAAAATTAAATCAAGATTTTTGCAAGTCAATTTTTTCCGTTAAAATATCAAAAACTTAATGGCAGAAATATATTTGAGGATATATTTTTTTATATAATTTTTAGTGATGTTAAAAGTTTTTCGAACTGGGCTTGGGGTTTTTGGTATGCGATTTTAAACTGATAAAGATTCAAATTCAAAAATTTGTTTAGTGGTGTTGTATCTCTGTTTATTGATAATACAACTTACTTTGTTGTACAGCTTTATAAATAAATAAAACCTTTGTGTCCTAACTGACTCCAGAAAAATGTTAGAAAAATAATTAAACTAGTTGAATTGTTATATGAACACTTGTATCGATGTATTTTGTTGTATTTATTTTAATCAATACAAATAAAATAATTAAAATATCAATAGTCCTTGGCTTGCGATGTCAATGATAAATTATGTAATCACACAATGACGATTATTAGCTTTCTTAATTTGCCGCTAGTTTCAGTTTAATGTGACCAGTAGGGTGGATCAAAAAAATTTGATATTTAAAATTTTAATGAGAACCATTTTAACTTCATTATATACATTAAAATTGGCATTTTGTGAAGATTTGAGATATTAAAAAACTCAGCACAGTGGGGACATGACATAGTTTGGTCCAGTTGTTGCGACTGACGTCGTAAACGCACACAAAAAAAAAGAGAAAAAGAAGAAAGCACGATTCTATTATGCACGTTTTAATTTTAAAAGAACAAGAATAGCCAACGAAAGGTTATAACACTGAAATATCACTAATTGTTGGATGATAGAGTTGAAAAATGGTTCTCGTCGGTGAATGACAAAACTTCTCGAAAGAACTGCGGTGGTGATCCGATGGCGTTCACGGACGGTAAAAACAGGAAACAATGGACGGCATCGGTGTCACGAAGATGTCTAACTGGACGTATTATTGCGGCCGGGTATTCGACGCTAGGCATTTGTTGGACTTTACACCACGACGATAACGCGTGTGTGTAACGGTCCGGTTTACAGTGAAGCTGTGGCTGAGAAGTAGCTGATACGACCGCGGGGTGTCAACGTGTGACAACGCCGTGGCCGTGTCACAGTATAGATGATATCAGCAGTGATTAAAATCACTATCCTAAAAAACACTGCTATACAAATCTGTAGATAGCGTTTAATTTTAAAAAATTGGTGGATTATTCCAAAAGCTATATGATTTTCTATTTCTTTATTTATATTTTAATTACAAGTTATATGATTATAAGTGTAATATTTGAATATATATATATATATTTATAATATATAAAAGGAAATGATCCGATTTAAAAAAAAAAGTATGTCACAAAAAAGAATAATATAATTGGATTATTATTCTTAAATCAAAATTAACTCCTATTTCTACCATTATTCCTAATTAGTAGTTCATTTATAAGTATAATTTATGAATAAATATCTATTAAGGCAATTCAATGTAGCAAATCATAGTAATCATTTTTAACTAATTTTTGGTGATTAAAAATATTCTACAATTGAAATATTCAGAAGATAATTAATTTTAATGATTTACTTTAATTTAAAAACCAATCAAAATGTTGTTGAAAAATCTACCCAATTGAGTGTATTAGTTGTGATCATTTGATGTATCGTTAAAAAAAGTTTTTATAAAAAGAATTTTATCACTATTTGGTGATCATAAGTTCAAAAAGATTAAAATAGTGTTCTTTTAACGTATTGGTCATTAAAATTGGTCAAGTGAGAGCTGAGAAAATAAATGAGAACCATAAAAAAAAATCATATAATAAAAAAACTTTCTTTCAAACAAGGGGGAACTACAGTCATGAGGTTCTTGATATTTATTAAAGTTATTGAATTTAAATGAAATAAAAATCAAATGATTTAAAATGTTTTTTCTAACTCAAAAACTTTTGTAAGGTATTTTAAAATAAAACAAAATTGAAAATTTTAACACAAAAATAGCATACGATAGACTTTTATTTCTATTCTATTTTGAACAATAGTATTTCTTTTTTTAAATTATTCACTTCTTACGTTTAATTGTTACGGGCTTGGCAATTTTTGAAAACAGAACCTTTTAATGGGAGCTTTTGGACAATGTTTTTTTTGTCGTAATAGTTGGACGATCAGTATTGGTCGTTGAGTTTTCCTTTATACATTAAAATTAAATTGATCGTAATTTTACTAAAAATTTGTGTGTTATGATTGTCAAATATAATTCAATATATCGACTAAAAATTGAGTTATAAAGACATTTTATGTAAAAAAATGAAATGTAATTGTTTAAAATACAGTAATTAACTTAATTAGTTTTAAAATAATTATATTATGTCATAATTATATTCATATTAAAAATTATTTTATTAAAATTATATGTAATTTAATTTTTCTTTCCTAATATTATAATGATCTCAAGATATAAAATTATGGTAAAAATTTATTTAAATAAAACTTTAAAACCTGTGACTTTATATTGGTTTGCTGATTTTTCGTAATTTTTAATTAGTTTACAATAAAAATCAAACTATTTTGATATACTAATCCAAAAATTGATTAACAGAGAACATTTTTTGTTTTTTGGGTATTTTTAAAAAACCAAAAACACGTTGTACTACCAGTAAAATATTTTTTTGAAATCTCAAATCTTCATAAAATGTCTATATTAATATATATATAATAAAATTAAAATAGTACTCATTAAAATTTTGAAGATCGACCACCACAGCTATAAAATCTACTTTATTAACCAGTAACCATAATTGCCACAACTTGTGAAAGATTTATTGCAATTTGATTAATAAAATGAAACATATGTACACGAGAGAAAAATAGAAATATATACAATAATATTTTCAAATATACTGTTCTACTTAAAAATGAGTATTAATAATAAATATACTATAAAGTTTAATTAAATAAATATCTCTTGAAAAATGATATAATAACATTTTATAATGATAAATTTAAAATTAGAATTATACTTTTAAATTAATAAAAGAAAATTTCAATATATTTAGTTTTATAAAAAGTTTTTAAAACAATAAAACTAAAAATTATTTTTAGCTATGGTCTTTTAGGACCTAGTGGTTGTGGAAAAACAACATTGTTGAATTCCATATTGGGAGTTCAACATTTGGATTCCGGTACAATTAACTTACAAGTGGAATCACTTTCAGATATTGGTTATATGCCACAGGTAAACTAAATTAATTAAGTACTTATTAAAATAAAATGTTTAAGTTTTTCATTGTTTTATTACAGGACATATGCCTTGATCAATACATTACCGTGAATGAAACCTTAACATATTTCGGCATACTTTACAAAATAGATAATGATACTATTAAAAGTAGAACACAAGATTTAAAAAAAATTTTGGAAATAGACTTTTTAAACTCATTCATTAAAGATTTGAGGTATATACGAAAATTAGTTAGAAATAATTAATAGACTCAGGGCCGCCTTTAAGACAGGGCACNTAGTCGAAAAGTCGTTAATCAAATCATTAAAATCTATTTCATTTAATAAATTAGATTCCATGCACATGATAGATAAATAGTTTAGCCTGGACTGGGTCATCGAATTTCTTACATCGCTTTTTAAAAATTTCAAATAAGAGAATGAACGCTCGCCAGTACAATTAGTTATCATCAAACTTAAATATATGCGTAAAAAAATTTCAATATTAGGAAAAGTAGAACTAATACAATTTTTTAAAAATTTATCAAACAAATCAGGAATTAGTAATACCTCATCATCGTTACAAGTTTCGTTTAAATAATGTTTAAAATGTAAACATTCAGAAATTAAATTTTCCACTGTGATATCCTTATCATAGATATTTGCCAAGTTTTCACAAGCGTCCTCGATTTATTAAATTCGAAATGTTATTGATTTTTTGGAGCGTCGTAAAAAATGTGAAATTTTCATTTAATTTATCATAAACTTCTTGTCTTTTCTTCAAATCAGTACAAACAGAGTCAATAATAGGTAAAAAAATTTTGATTCTTAATTTATCATCGGAATTAAAAAGTTGTTCATTGGAAGGTCCATCGAAATAAGTTAGTCTGGTATTAATTTTTTTTATTCTCTGATTGCACGAATCTTCACTTAATACCGTAAAATTTTTAGCTTTTACTAAAAAATTATTAAACTTATCACTAGTATCATTCAAATACAAATTTAAAGATGCTAATAGGTGAGTAGCTACTTGTAAATTCATGTTTTTTTTTTGAAAAGTTACATTAACATCGTTTATACGACTCAAAAGATCGTTCCACACAATAGTTAAAAATATATTTTCAAATTTTTTAAATTTTTTAAACAATGACTGCGCTTCGTATTTCGTATCTTGAGCTGTGTTTTGATTTTGTGTTATTTTTTCGAGAACTGTACATATTTTATCATAACCGTTATGCAAGGCAGTTATGGCATCGCAACGAGCTGACCATCGAGTAGTCGAAAGACTTTTTAAGGTTTTATTTTCCGGTCCTAAAGCTGACAAAAGTTGTTGCCATCTATTAGTCGATAATGAAAAAAATGTATACAATTTTTGCACTAAATAAAAGTAAGCTACGACTTCCGGAACACACTCAGCTGCTTTAGTGCCGACTAAATTTAAAGAATGCCCGGCGCAAGGAATGTAAATAGCATATTTGTTAATTTCTCTGATTCTCGCTTGCAAGCCTGAGTATTGTCCTGACATATTCGAGGCATTATCATATGACTGTCCTCTGCAGTCTTGAATATCGACGTTATGTTCATGTAAAAAACTAATTACAACTTCACTTAAATATTCAGACTTGTGTTGCTCAATTGGGATAAATAATAAAAAGCGCTCGATGGGACCTTTATCAGTTGTATAGCGAACTACAAAAACTAACTGATCTGTGTGCGAAACATCGGGCGTAGAATCAACACAAATCGAGTAATATTTCGATTTTTTTAATTCTTTGATAATATAAAAAAATATTTGTTTCCCCATTAATTCAATAAATTCTTCGCAAATATTCGCAGATAAATATGATGTTATTCCGTGTTCTTTATTTCCGTAAGTCTTAATATGATCTTTTAAAAAACTATCGTATTCGCTTAAAAGTTCTAAAATTTCTAAGTAATTTCCATTTTGCGTTGACCCAAATATTTGATTACTGCCTCGAAAAGCTAGACCTCTAGAAACAAGAAACTTAATAACATTAGTGATTCTACGAAGAACTTGTGTCCAGTAATTTTTTTCATTATTTAATTGAAGCGTCATTTGTATATTTATCAAATTTAAGTTATTTCTTCTTTTAGAGTACGTTATCAAAGTTGCCTTATGAGATCGACTCTCTTCGTGGTCTACAATACGCTCTGGATGCTTCCAGTCACGAAATCCAAAAAACCGCGAATTGATTTCGTTCATTTGAAAATAAGTGGCATATAAAACAATAAATATTACCGGTCGATGGAGAATAAGAAAGCCAGTCTCGTTCTACTGTTTCTCCGTTGTGCAAATTGCGATAAAAAAGAGATGAATGAAAAAATCTTATTTTCTGTTTCTCACTTTCGTCATAAATTCTAGCTGATTTTGTATATTCAACATTCTTATTATGAAAAAAAGATGGATCTTTTTGCAAGCAATAGTTTCGTAAATCTTCGTTGATATCTTTCCAGGATGCTAAGTCTGTTGAATATTTTGTAATTGTATTGANATCTTTCCAGGATGCTAAATCTGTTGAATATTTTGTAATTGTACTGAGATTTTCAGACTCATCTATTGGTATGAAACAAAAAAATTTTAATAATAAATAAATTAATAATAAACATTTTAATAAAAATTTTAATTTAAATAATAATATTATATATAATAGTCGAAAAGATGAAATAAATAATTTAAAAAATAAATACATATTGAGTAAGTTCAAAATTTTTTAACAAAAAGCTTTTTTTTATCCATTTTAATCAATGTTTAGTGTACGATCCTCACGATCCTCACTGCACGCGTGAAAATAAAAGAGAGAAGTCCGTGACACCTTTTTTCTTATTTATCTTACTGTTGTGAAAATTTAATACGTTTAATGCACATAACAGTCAATTTGAACATGCGAGAGTCTGAACATGATCTGTTGTTTGGACCTCTTTTTATTACACTTACACGCTTGCATACAGCATGCGTGTCAATTCATGCTTCACTCGAGCAATAAAACCCTGGTCGAATCGTCCTGATTCCACACCCTTATACGAGTACATTTTTTTTCTTCAATTTTTGTAAATAAAATAGATTTTTTACGCTATCACTTAAAAATCTCATGTAAATAATAATTTAGTAAAAACAAAATGTACCTGTACACTTATGATTTAAAATCTCCAAATTGCAGCAATATCTATGAAGAAATTCCGGCAATAATTATATCAATATATTTAAAAAAACTTTCCACTTATTAGTTTTACCTGCTACTTGAACATTAATAAAATGAGTTATCTTCGGTAACTTTGAAATTTGAATTTTACCTTCTTTAGCTTTTTTTCTTTTTGCTGCCCCGCTAGAGTGAATTCGATGCATTTTAATATTTAAAATAAACAAACACGAATCATTAAACTAAAAAAAATATCTCGTAGCTTTAGTGGCGCGTAGCTTACAACACGTTGTTGCCGTAGAACATGTTTAAACATGTTTACCAGCAGTCTGAATTGTTATTGGAAAAACCGATAGTCCCTGCGCGTACGTGTCAAAATAAAATTCTTGGCGCCAAGCTAATTGCGCGTAAATCTAAAAATATACTTACTAATAGTATGTAGATATACAAATACGCGTATATATATATTTTTATATACAAATATATGTCTTGTATTTATTAAAAAATACTTGCCGTTTATTATAGTAAGTGGTGGAAAAATTCTAGATACACAAAAATGCGGCAATTCAGCTAAAACTTATTTTAAAGAAAAATCATAACGATCAATATTACTGGTTTTTAAACAATTTCAAGATTTTTCGACTCCTTAAATGGGCCTCCAATCTAAGTAGGCCCAGGGCCTCCAAGTAATGAAAGACGGCCCTGAATAGACTAAATAGGTATTTTAAATTTTGTTTGAATAATTAAAATATCATTGTTGTAAAAAATGTCCTTATTTTTAATTAGATGGGTTAGTTTTAATTATACGATATTAAATCCATATTATTATTCTTAGACTAACTATAGTAACTTAAATAAAAATTAGTAACGCTATTTCAGATTTTAAAAGGGGCGCAAATATAACTTTTTAATAATCTCATTTAATTCAGAAATTTTTGTAATGATATATAATTCTTCCCTTTATGGACAGAAACTTAAATATTTAATTTTTTTAACTATTTTTAACTTGATAATATTGTAATAACCCAAAGAAGTACAATACTGGGAATTTTATCGATTATATATCGGGAAGCTGTTGCATGTGTGAGAAGAGTGTAATGAGGAGAAATGTAGAGTGTATACTACGTGTTGAGGGGAATACTAAATTCTAATAGTTATTACTTAATAAATGTAGTTAGTGTATTAAAACTACTCTTACCTGATATTCACTGATGATGATTAAATCCCGAGTGTAGATTTATGGTTGTTAAAAAGTATATTTAAAACTATAGTAAGTGTGTCAATAAATGAAAATTGAACTTGGTTAGCAGAAGCGTATTTATTATTATGGAAATTGTTAATTATTTTCACAAATGTATATTTTAAGTTTAGTGTTAAAAGGTTAAATTTAAAAAGAAACAACAGAAAAGAATACACACAAGTATGTTTGGAATTATATTTTGAATTGATTAACTTTACATTGTAGTGAGAGAAATGAAAGATTGACTGACTGACTAAAGCAGTCTCCAGCCCTTATATAACATACCACGAAAAACATAAATAGGGATGAAACGTCTGATTGAGTCATGCTTTACAATCAAAACAAGACAGTTACTTTTTATCACCTTCTCCTATTTTATGCTTTTTGTGGTGCCTAGAAGACGCTGAGACAGACAATGACTCATGGCTACTTCGTAGTTGCCAAAAGTCAATACTATAAGTTTAATCGTGTTAGCATATTCTTTTCTGTGGTCTTAGAAATACAAGAGGTATTGATTTTATTAATATTCCAAAGGAGAATATTACAATATAATAGAATAAAAATTTTTGTTCTTATATTTTTATTATCTATAACAAAAAAAAAAATTAATATGTTCATTTTGCAAATTTTAAAAACGTAATTCTATGTACTTGTTAGATATGGACATCCATAATACAAAATATTTAACTTTTTACTGGTGAATGATAACACATTTCGCTATCTAACAAAGAATATTTGTTATTTGTATATCCCGAGTTCTATTTGCGAATAGTATATGATAATGTAAAAAATAATTATATGTAATAACAAAAATACTAGAATCGCATTTCATACTAGTTTGATTTTTGTGAGTTTGTGCGCTTTTCAAAAAGGGGAGTGTCCACTTTTCCCCCGCACATGACGCCTTTATTAAAAAGAAAAAGTTTATTAGATGTGTACTAAAACTATATTGGTTTGTATTATTTAAGATTATATCTCTCGGGGAATTAATACAAGGTGCTATGATAACAATCAGCCGTCTAGCTATTAATATAAAAATCGGTGGCGTATTTTGTTTAGAACAGGCAGTAAAAATTCCACCAAGTTGCGAGTGGCCATCGACTGTCGTTCGCAAATCATCGTTCTGTTAGATTTCAACGGTCTACTTATGCGTTTCCAACGCCTTCCTGAATGAATCATCGTTTTGAAGCCTCAATGCACACGTATCCCTTAAGCAGGGCTTAAATCAAAATTATTTATTTTGGTTTTACGCTATGACAGTTAAAACGTTAATAATTTTATTGTGTTATACTTTTTAAATAATTAAAACATTATGGGTTTATGTCTAGTGTTGATTTGTTATTGGAAGCTATAATACTTCCAAAGTAGCAGAATTCTTTGAATGTTGTTTCATTTATGAAATATTAATTTTCATTTTTCTTTATGATAGCGTTTTTCATCTTTTTTGTTATTAATTTATTATGGTTTTCGTTTTATTTTAATGACATTAATAACGTTTTTGGTGGATACACATCAATATTCTGTTGAGAAATTGTGTTGTGATTATTTATGCTATCGTTGTGCTATAACGAGTTGTTGTCAGTTTTCTCTCTATGTCTGCATTGTCGCCGCCATCTTAGCGTATTTTAGCTATAAGCTTTATAATGTCTTGCGAGCCAGTAGTTGTGTATTCGTTTTGTTGTAAAAGTCAAATATAACCTTTGCGATTGTCGAACCCTTGTGCGCTCAGTATATCGCTGTTGGGTTCATATATATTTTCTGAGATACAGCATAGTACCGTTCACAGAATATTGTATACGTTGGTCAGCTACTTGCATTCGACTTCAATAGCTCCTTTTAATATTCCGTTTCAATTAGCCGATAAGTATGATGCTTGTTCATCTTATTTTTAAGACTTACTCACATTTATAATTTATTATTTGTTTATATCAACGCCATTGTGGCATTAGTATTAAGTGTTCCCACTATCCACATTGGTGCATATAATATTTTATGATTCTTGTATAATACATTTAACTGTTATAATTATATATTGTAAAATTCATTCTACAATCATTTATACAGTCCACTCACTTCATTCCTTATCCTCGACAATTGCGTGAATACTACTGGTCATTGATGTTAATGATAAGTTAATAGTACATAATTTCAATTAATCCCCAAAAAAATTTTTTCTTAACATTTCAAAAAGTCCTGACNAAAAAAATGTTTTCTTAACATTTCAAAAAGTCCTAGCTCATTATATTAATGTCATTGATGCATTATAAAATAATACAAAATGTATATTTCAGCGGAGGACAACGTAGAAGAGTTTCACTAGCAGTTTGTTTACTTCATGACCCTAAATTAATAATATTAGATGAGCCTACTGTAGGCCTTGATTTAGTAATAAGTGTAAAGTATGAACTTTGATTTTCTAATGAAATTTAATCATGTATTCATCAATTACATTTATATTTAGTATTTGGAATCATTTTGTGAATCTCGCAAAAAATAACGGTAAAACTATTATAATCACGACTCATTATATTCAAGAAGCTTCTCAAGCGGACAAGGTAAATAGTTTAAAATATTGATACGGAGCTTAGAAAATCAAATTTTTAAATATTTTTGAATCCAATTCCAAAATCAAGAATTTTCTATTCAGAAATTAATAACAAAATATTAAGATAATTGTACACTATTTTACGAGAGTTTATAATTCGAAAAATAATTGTTAGAATTATTAGTAGATATATGTAATGAATGATATATTTAATAAAAGATGTACAAACATATTTTTAATAACAATTAATTACTAAACTTATTTCATATTTAGATTGGTTTTATGCGAAATGGAAGACTATTAAAAGAGTGTTCACCTAAAAGTTTATTAGACCAATATGATACTGATTCGCTAGAAATCGCTTTTATAAAACTTTGTGAAGAACAACCCATTAATGAAGTAATATAAAAATTTATAATTTTAATAATTGTTCACTATATTCATCCAATATTATAATTTAGTTGACTAATACTAGTATTGTGTGTCAGGACATAAACATTTTAGTAAAATATTACTGTAAAAAAGATTACATAATTTTATTAAATAATAAAAATTGATCAACTGATCTCAATTCTAATAATAAATTTGAAACCTAATATTATTATTAAATACAATGAAATAAATAATTGTTTTATTTAGAATGAAAATAATAGCTTACCGAGATATACAAATCGAAACAAAACCTTGCTGGAAAAAAATCATTCCAATTTCTCTTGGTACAAAATTAACGCATTAATAAAAAAGAATTGGTTTATATTTTCAAGAGATATTATGTAATTAAATATTTTAGTAAATACGATTAAAAAAATAAAATATATAGATTCAAATATTAATTCTTTATTGATAATTGAGTGTAGTTCTATGATGTTTGTACTTGTATTGCCATTTATTCTGATGTTCAATTTTAATTTAACGACCGGGACATCTTTTAAGGATATAAACGTAGCGATTTTAAATGATGAAGTAAATACATCAATTTGTACCAATACTCGTTTAAATAGTTGTTTAGTAGAAAACGATTTTAATGGAACATTAAGTTGTGATATGATAAGTTATTTAAGATCTCTTGATTATATTATTGTAAGCATAAATATAAAAACTTTACAGGGTGATAATTTTATTACTAGCCACTCAATTTCTTAATATTCATTTATTCTGTGTAAAATATTTTTTATATTTTATGTCTTAACTTTATTTTTTAAATGACAACATACAAATTTACTTATTAAATAAAAAATTATGTAATTTAGAAAGTGACTGGTCGATATAAATTTTTGGACCATTATATTGGACGTAAGGGATGAACAAGAAAAATATTTACACAAGATAAATTTATGTACTTGTGTAACTAACAAAAGTTCGCAAAAAAAAAAAAAATGATAAATTGAGTGACGAGTGTTAAAATAATCACTCATTATTAATAAAATCTTTAGAATAATAGTATTATGAATAATTTGTTATTTTAAAAAAAATTTTTTTCAAATCTGTTTTATATAAGTTATATATAAAAAACAACGACGACGGAATTAAAGCTGTAAATAAAGGGCGTGCAGTAGCATTTATACATTTTCATTATAACTACTCAAAAGAGTTACTTAGATTTGTAAATTATGACGATAATTATTCACAAGAATCGACTGGGATTGCTTATTTAGATAATGGAAGTAAGATTAAATTAAATTCATTTGCTTACATTTATCGTAAATAAATTAATCTTACTTTTTTACTCTTATATATTTAAAAACTTTTATAAAGGAATCATTTTATTTTAAATTTCAGTGTACTATTTTTTTTTAGCTTCGATGCGAAGCTGAGAAGGTATTGGTTTTACTAAGATGTGTTTTTTTTTTTTTTTTTTTTTTTTTTT